ATATCAATCTATGATATACCAAGTGTTCTGACGTAAAGTTGAAGCTGGCGAAGTATGATTTATCACCAAATAGTGAATCACATTAAATACTAATTATATCAACCTATGATATACCAAGTGTTGTGACGTAAAGTTGAAGCTGGCGAAGTACGATTTATCACCAAATAATGAATCACATTAAATACTAATTATCGTCCTATTATCCTATCTATTATATATAAACTACATCTATCTTCTGCAGGACAACGGCGGCTTCTCCGACGAAGAACTGCTCTTTCGATCCACAGCCAGACCTCGGTCAGCTGGTTTTCAACACCCACGACTTGATCCGTGGAGTGACGATGATGACGGGACGAAAGCGGAATTCACTGGTGACCAGGGACCTGAAAATACTAAAAAGATTGCTAGAAATCGCTATTACAAAAGACCATTTTACGGAGAACAGCAGCCTATCAGTAAAACGCTGCCGAATCGTCGTAGGATGAATTCATCACGATTACAACTCAGGAAGCACCAGAGAGCACCTAGAGCCGCTTATAATGTTGACACCGATCGTTCGCAAGTTCTAATTCCACACCAAACAAGTCTTAAGTATTTATATCCCGAAATTCAGGTAAAGTATCCAAAATATGATGTACGTGTAAAGACGTTTTCCACATCGACACCTTTTTCTAGAATTCAAGATACCTACAATTCTTGCTTCTTTGGTAGCAGTAGCAAAATTTAGAAATGTATTTGCACATTTTTGAGAGGTTTTATAAATATATTTACCCTTTCCAAAATAAGTAGCATAACTCTTTGATATAGTAAAGGCTGAATATTAAGCAACGGGAAAATTTTTTTAATTTTCACTTGAATGTGAACTGGTTCAAAGAGGTCGCCACTGTACAACAATCGTCATATAGGTCAGATTAAATCTATTTACGTATCTATAATTGAAACATAACATTCGTTTAGAATATTTTTTTGTTTTGTTATGTTCAATTTAGAATTCACGACAAGGAATAACGTGTAGATTTAATGAGAATTGATTTAGTGATTAAAATTTGCAAATAGTGTTTCTTCTAACCTTTTTTTTTTTTCAGGCAACCCCAAGAAAGGTATTTGCAATATTTAATGTTCGTTTGTGTACAATTTAAATGAGTTACTTTTTTTTGTTTATTGATTATTAAAATAATTAGTGGCCATAAATCAAGGTGGGTTTCTCTAGAAGACATCAATGAATGGAAGATTTACTTACATTCTTAATTATTATCTAGCTAATTAAAAAACGGTCATGGAACGCCAACTACTTTTTAAAAATAATTGTGAAGTGAATAATATGAACGGAACGTCTTCAATATTGTTGCGTCAGCGAGATCACGTGACTATTCTCACGCCCTCTGCTTTTTAGAACTATCCTGTACCTTGGCGAATGCTCTAGCATTTACTAGATATAGGGTAGTATGGTATATAAAAGAGGGTGACAACGTGACAGAATAATGTGTGTGTGTGTGTAGATAGTGAGTAATTGATCTGCAGTCAGAGAGTATTATTGAGCACATT